TTAAAAAATGACAAGACAAGTTGGGCATGTTGGTGCATGCCTGTAACCCCAGCACTCAGGGAAGACTGAGGCAGGAGGATTCCTGTGAGTTTGAGGCCAGCCTGGACTATATAGAGAGTACAACGCGAGACCTTGTCTCAAAAAAAACCAAAACAAACAAACAAAAAAACACCACAGACAAAACAAAACAAAACAATAATAAGACAAAGACTATGAACAGAGCATTTAAAACTGCCTGGCTTGCAGTAACTGCTCATTCAAAGGTAGCTATTATTTGAGGACTGTCTCAAGGTCAAGTGCTTGAAAGGAGCTGAATGGTTTCAGGAAAAGGAATGTGGCAATACCTCAAGAAACCTTCACCCCACCGGGCGTGGTGGCACATGCCTGTAATCCCAGCACTCGGGAGGCTGAGGCAGGAGGATCGTTGAAAGTTCGAGGCCAGTCTGGGCTACAAAGTGAGCTCAAGGCCAGCCTGAACTGCATAGTGAGACCCTGTCTCAAAAAAACAACAACAAAAAAGAAACATTTACCCCAACCCTCTCTCTTGGGCAGAAGGGGCAGGACCCACACCCCATCCCCTCAGAGCTGGGCCAGATCTGCCAGGCTTTCAGTGTGGTCCTTGCGCCCTCTAGTGGCCCCAGGGACACAGCTAGCTGAGCTCTTTATTGCTCCCATTCCTGATCCATCTTCCACTCTTTCCCTCAACTCTGGCCCATCCGCTAGCTGTCTACCTAGTTGCATTACCAAGGTGGCATTGCTGACTCCCTGTGTTGAGACATGCCAATACCCTGCCTGGATTCCTGGCTTTACCTCCCTTATTTTATCAGTGGAGGGGGCTTCCCTCTGAAGGCTCTTCATCTGAAGTGACAGCTTGCCGCCAGCAGCCCTGCTCAATCCTAGCCATGCCTGTGGTAAGACCCTGCTCTCCTCCAGCCCTGCTGCCCTTAGCTCCCTGCCCACAGCGTGGAAGCCACCTTCCCTCTCCACAGCTTAGCCAGGGCAGTTGTCTAAAAATCTGCATTGGGTCATATCATCCTCCACCTCATGCCTATTACAAAGCCCCCCCCCTTTTTTTTTTGTTTTTTTTTTGGTTTTTCTCCGGTACTGGGAACCGAACTCATGACCTTGCGCTTGCCAGGCAGGCACTTTTGCCGCTGAGCTAAATCCCCAGCCCCACAAAGCCCTTTCATCTCAAGACAGACCGTGTGAGGCTTGTTGCTGGGCCTTTATAGATAGGTTTGTGTGTGTGAGCCTCTTAAGCTGTGACTGGGTGACACTGCCATGCTGGGGTTACTGGGGCTATATGTGAACAAAATTGTGCCGTGACCCTACCTGCCACCACCCCTGAAAACCAATACCAGGTGTGAAAACTAAAGCAATGAAGTGTTTTTTGTTTTTTGTTTTTTTTGAGCCAGGGTCTCCCTATGTAGTTCAAGCTGGCTCTGAACTCACTATGTAGCCTAGGCTGGCCTTGAACTCTCAGTGATCCTCCTGCCTCAACCTCCTGAGTGCTAGAATTATAGGCGTGCACCACCATGCCTGGTTTGCAGTTGTTTTTTTGTTTTGTTTTGTTTTTTTTAAAGAAAAGAAACAATAAAAACATAAAAACAAAATTTCAAAACAATATGATAGGAGGGTAACAATGGTCAACACATTGTGCATTGTTATCTTTAGCTACTCAGAGTATGAGATATCAGCATTTAACTGTCCAGACTGCTGGGTGTGGTGGAGCATGCCTGTAATCTCAGCATTTGGGAGGCTGGATCACTGAGAGTTCAAGGCCAGCCTGGGCTACAAAGTGAGTTCAAGACCAGCCTGAACTGCATGGCAAGACCTTGTCTCAAAAAGACCAAAAAAAAAAAAAAAAAAAAAAAAAAAAAAAAAGATTGTCCAGACAGTATTAGCACAAACCTCTTTTCAGTGAACTGAAATTGGTAGCATACCTATTTTAACTATTTTTTATATATACATATACATGTATATATATATATATATATTTTTTTTTCCTTTTGCTTTTCCCATCTTTCTTTTTTCCCATTCCCCTAAACCAGTTTCTCTTTCCTTTTGGAGTTTCTTCTCATTTTACAACATCTATTGTACATTTTGGATCACATTTACTCTTTTGGTTTCTCATACTAGAGAGACAATGCGATGTTTACACATTTGTGTCTGGTTTATTTCACTTATGAGCATGGACTCAAGTTGCATCTATTTACCTGTAAAAGTCTCCAGTTTATCCTTCTTTATGGCAAAATAACACTCCATTATATAAATTATATAAAAAGACCACATCTTTTTTATCCATTCCTCGGTTGATGGGCAATTAGGTTGTTTTCTAGCTATTACAAATTGTGCTGCTATAAACGTGGGTGCACATATATCACTGTGATACAGTGTTTTTTTGGGGGGGTGGTTCTGGTACCGGGAACTGAACTCATGACCTTGAGCTTGCCAGGTAGGCGCTGTGCTGCTGAGCTAAATCCTCAGCCCCTATACAGCGTTTTTAATTCTTCTGGGAAGATACCCAGAAGGGGAATAGTTGAGTCAAATGGGAACTCTAGTCTTAGTTTTTTTAGGAATCTCCACATGGATTTCCACAGTGGTTGTACCAGTCTACACTCCCACCAACAGTGAGAGAAGAGTTCCTTTTTCCCTACAGTCCTTCCAGCATTTTTAATTGGTTGATTTCTTGATAATAGCCATTCTTTCTGGGGTGAGATGGAATCTCAGTGTTGTTTTAATTTGCATCTCTCAAATAATGTGGTTTAATTTTTTTTTTTTCTTTTTTTTTGTCTTTATGAGACAGGGTCTCGCTATGCAGTTCAGGCCGGCCTTGAGCTCACTTTGTAGCCCAGGCTGGTCTCAAAATCACAATGATCCTCCTGCCTCAGCCTCCCGAGTGCTGGGATTACAGGCGTGCACCAGAATGCCTGGTGAGGTGGTTTAATTTTGAAAGCAAGAGTAGCTGGGCGTGGAGGCGCATGTTTGTAATCTCAGCACTTGGAAGACTGAGAGAGGAGGATTGCCGCAAATTTGAGGCCAGCCTGGGCTACATAGTGAGTTCAACAGTAGCCTGAGCTACATAGTGAGACCCTGTCTCAAAAAACAAACAAAACAGAATCTGCCCAGGTATCGTGGCATGTGCCTGTAATCTCAGGTTCTTGGAGGCCAGAGGATCACAAGTTAGAGACCAGCCTGGGCCACTTAGTAAGAGCCTTTAAAAAATTTTAAGATTTTTGTTAAAAAAAAAAACATAGCCAGGTGTGGTGGTGCACGCCTGTAATCCCAGCACTTGGAAGGCTGAGGCAGGAGAATCATTGCCAGTTCAAGCCCAGCCTGGGCTACAAAGTGAGTGCAAGACCAGCCTGGACTGCATAGCGAGACTCTGCCTCAAAAAGACAAAAAAAAAAAAAAAAAAAAAATAAGTAAAGGGCTGGGAATGTAGTTTGGTGGGAACTGCACCAGCGTGTTACTGATTCAGTCTGAAGTAACACACACACACACACACACACACACACACACACACACACACACACACACACACACAGGGGCATGTGCGGAGTCCTACAAAACAAGATTTCTTCATGGCTTGACAGCAAACAGTTATTTAAAAGATCAAAAAAGAGTGCTAAGCATAAAAGAAATTGTTGATAAATCAGCTAAGCTAAATTTAAAACCTCTGCTCATCTAAAGGCATTAATTGGGGCTGTGTAGCTCAGTGACTCCAAATAGGAGTGTTGAATGGGGATGTGGTGGGGATCTTGATGGTGGCACTAATCTGCCCGCCTTCAGGGGATGTGATCTTGTTTGCATTCACTGTTCTCTCAGGTACAGGAGCTCTAATGCTTCTATTTGGACTTTCCCACCGTAATAGCCCCACACCGCCAATTAGGGAGCCAGTATGGGGATTCTGTCAAGTACTGAGTATATCTATTCCAGTGTGTGTTTCGGAATGGGGAAATGACTACAGGATGGACTCGGAGATCTTCTGGGCCCAATGTGAGTTGGACCTTGGCTAAAGCTCCACTGACCATGTGTAGCTCAGTGTAGCTCAGTGATAAGCACTTGCAGAGCAAGTGCCTGAGGCCTGAGGCTAAGCCCCCAGTACCACACACGTACACACAGGGAAGGAAGAAGCAGAATACATAAACTGCAAATCAACAGAACATGTGAGGTGATTAAGCTTGTCAACTTGAGTGGCTCAAGAGCTGACGGGGGCAGGGGGTTAGTACAGCACATTTCTGGGTGCGACTGGGTGGTCACAGAGCCATGACCTTGGGGTCTACGTCTGGCTCCTCCTGCTCTGGCATTGGTCCCTGCTCTGCTTCCCAGCTGCCATGCAGTGATTATCCTCTTCCACCATACCTCTCTGTTACATTGTTTCTGCCTTGGAGCTGGATGACCAGAGACTGAATGCTCTGAAACCGAGGGTCAAACAAGCCATTTTCTCCTTCGAATTTTGGGCCTCAGGTATTTGGTCCCAGCAATGGGAAAGCTGACTGACATGGAATAGAATGGTGGCAAAAACGCTGAAGAGACATCTTCACAGATGATGCACATTATGCTGGAGCAGTGTTGCATGCCTGTAATCCCAGCTACTGAGGAGGCTGAGGCAGGAGGATCAAAAAGTTTAAGGCCAGTAACTTAATGAAACCCTGTCCCAAAACAAAATATAGAACAGGTGTGGAGACATAGCTCAGTGAGAAGGCCCTTAATTGAACACCCTCTCCCCAAAAGAAAGGCCCTCCAGGCTCCCACTTAAATGGATGAGTTCATGGAAACAGGAGAGGAGGTCCATCACAGAGGCTGTGCCTCCCAGCAGTCTCTTCTGGAGGTAGGAGATCGGAGGGAGCCTGCTCAGGCCCTCCAGGCCCTCCCTTTGGCCTGGGGTCCATACCCATTCAGGAAACCTTTCACTAATAACAATGAGTACCCCCTTCTGGCCCAACACCCCACTGACAGGGTCAGCAATGCCTGGGGGAGGCTCTGTAGCCCCTGGAGTTCAGGCCAGGTAGGCAAGGCCCCAGCAGGTGCGGTGAGCAGAGACTTCCAGCTGCTGGGGAAAGAGGCTCATGCAGTGCTGACCACTTAGCCACTATTCTGTAGTTGGAATCTGATGTGACCTTGGCTGCTGCCAGCCTGGGCTGGGCCCTGCGCGAGGAAGGAGTCCCTTAAGTAGCTGGAGGCCCTTCAAATGCCATCTATTTGCAGCCTGGGCCCTGACGCTGGCATGTGTCACATGTGAGCACGGGCTGGGTATTTTTGGCAGTGGGGGTGGAGCTTCCAGGGCCAGCCCAACAGCATGCCGCTCTGGGGTAGGCACTCAGATGCCCTGCTCCACTGCCCTGCTGGCTGCGAGACTCAGGTAGGACATGGTCAACTTCTCCTTCTTAGCCTAGGGTCTCAGTGGCAGGCAGGCCCCCCCAGAGGACTCTCCAAGGCAGAGAGGAGTGTGTGGGTCAGTGTGTAGGAAGCTGTGGTACTTTGGCCTGTGGACATCTCCAGCTCAGGACTGTCCCAGGTAGAGTGACCTCCCACCCTATGGGTCTAGCAGTAGCTGGCTGAGAGTGGATGAGTAGCCCCCATGGGGGAAAAACTGGAGTCCCCCTCCAGCTTAGTTCACCTTGGTTCCCTAAGCTGGGGCAGAATGGGGCCTTGGGCAGCCAGGCAGGATTGGGGTGGGGGTGCAGACCTCGGGAATAGCCTGAGGGGGCCACTAGGGTCCAGGGGCTGATCTCTGCTCCACAACCTCAGGCCCGGGCCCTTCCTGCTAAACCCTGAGCTGACTCCAGCCAGCACCAGTGTGACCTTGGTGAGCTCAGAGGAAAACTGTCCCAGCCAAGGCTGGTGGAAGGTCATCACCCCGAAGGCTGGGCACCTGCTGGACAGTGCAGCCAGCTGTCTCCTAGGGCACCCTGGGACAGGCTGGGCTGACCATCATCTGAGGAACTGACCTCTGGTGGGTTGTCCTTGGTACAGACCACTCCGAGGAAGTGGAGGAAGGGAGCCGGACCCACCTGACAAGAAATCTCAGAGATGTGAAGGAATGGCATTCCTGGGAATGAAAAACATGACAGATGTCATATGAGGATGTGTGCCTCACTAATATAAAATGCAATTTGGTTTTAGGACTGTATCAGTGTATGTTGTAAAGTTGCCATTTGGAGCCCATTTGGAAGTAGGGGAAATGGGAGCTGAAATTTTCTAACTCAGAAGAAATTAGATTTGAAGGAAGCACAGCCTGTCCTCTGGGACCCTGCTCTGCTTTCTTCCAGGAGATGGACAGCCAGGTGGGGGTCTCCCCCATGCATGCAGGGTGGTGGCACTGTGTGCAGGTTGGTGCCTGGAGCCTGGACACCTGAAGATCCCATCCCGCTCCACATCCTGTCACTACTCCAGCACCTCTGCTGACCTGTGATGGACAACTTCCAGTACAGTGTCCAGCTCAGTGACCAGGACTGGGCTGAGTTCTCAGCAACTGCTGATGAGTGTGGCCTCTTGCAGGCTGGCCTGGCTTCTGGGGACGAGCTCTTTTCCAGTGACATTGACCAAGGGGACAGCAGTGGCAGCAGCCCACCGGGGCCCCCACCCCTTCTCACTGTGCAGCTGGCCCCCAGGGGAAAGGGCTGGCAGGCCTGTGAGGAAGAGAACAGTGTGGCCACCTGGCAGCTGGCCAGCAGGTTTCAGTGTGAGCCTCTCCTGGCTCCAGGGGCCAGTAAGCAGGCAGCCGGCACGTCCACACGATCTGAAGCTCTGCTGTCCCTCCGCTCAGGAACTGCCCCTCTTGACCAGCGCTCGTCCTTTCCGGAGTCAGTAGATCCCAGTGACATGATGCAGAGGCTTCTGCAGGGCCCTTCTCCCAGCCCCTCTGGTGAGCCCCCCCAGAGTTCTGATTCCTCTGGCCACAGTGTCATCCCCAAAAAGCCCCCTGACAATCCTGGAGCCCCTCCCCGAAGCCCCGGCCGCAAGAAGAGGCGCGCTGTGGGGACCAAGGGGGGCGGATGCTTGGAGCCCCCAGGACCTGCTGTGGGTCCACCAGGCTCTCCCAAGCTCCCTGAGGAAGGCCATAGCCTGGCTGGGGCCAGAAGGGAGGGGTTTGGGGCTGGGACAGCAAAGACAATGGCAGGAGCCCAACAGAACAAGCCTCAGCCAGACTCTGCCCATGTTCTCTCTGCACCTGTCCCTGTAACTGAGCGAGGTGCAGACCAGATCAGAATGACCTCCAGGGCTGAGCTACACAGGGCTTCTGCACCTGTCCAGGTGGCTCATTCAGATTCTTCCATGGCTGAGACAGATGAAGCCTTGTCTATACCTGCCTCCAAGCCTCAGCCCAATGTGGCCATGTCTACACCCACCTCCACACCTGCACTGCGTGTGGACCTGCCTACTACAGCAGGGCCAGTGGTCAAGCCAAAGGTGGATTCACCTCTTCCTATCTCCATGGCTGTGACCAGCAGGGCTCTGCCCTACTCTGCTTCCAAGACTAAGTATGATGGGACAGCATTTACCCCTGTTCCTGGGGCTGAGGCTGCTGTACCCTCCCAGCCCCCTGTTCTCCAAACTGGGGCTGATATGATAGAGACACAGATGGCTGTGCCTCCAACAGGGCATCAAGATAAACCTGCAGGGACTCCTGGACTCGTTTCAGGGGTACCTCCCCCAGGCCCCATCCCAACCCCCAAGAAGAAGAAAGTACGATTCTCCATGGCTGTGCCCAGACCTGAGCAACCAGGGTCAAGAGAGGCTACAGGCCTACCCTCATCAGCTTCAGCCTGGCCCTCAGCCCCTGGGACTGCAGTGGGAGGCCAAGAGGGGTCTGCAGCCTGGGATGCGGTGGCGGTTGGGCCCCGGGGCCCCCAGCCTCGGATCTTGAAGCACCTGCCACCCCCGGCTCCCTCTGCTTCTGCAGGGCCTAGGCCCAGGAGCTGCTTTGCAGTGACCCTCCCCGAGGCCTATGAGTTCTTCTTTTGTGATACCATTGAGGAGGAGGAGGAAGTAGGGGAGGAGGAAGGTGCCGAGCAGGAGGCAGTAGCCAGCCAGGCACTGGATTCTGTCCAGTGGCCAGACATTTGCGAATTCTTCTTCCGGGACTGCCACACCCAGAGGTCGGGGCACCAGGGGAGCTGCTCCCCTGCTCCACCCCCAGGAACTGACCTTGTATCAGCTGTGCCCCCTGGAGATCCGGTGCCTTTCTCCATCCCTGAGGCCTACGAACACTTCCTTGGGGAGGACAAGTTTGGGGGTACACTGTCACCAACTGCCCTCCAGCAGCAGACCTCAGAGGCCCCCAGGAACATGGGGACAAGGATCAAACCTGAGCCCAGCCCAGCCATAGCAGAGCAACTCAGCCTGACAGCCAGGCGGGCAGGTATGTGTGCCTAGGTTTATGGCCCACCCAGGTTCTGAGAACACACTGTCCAGGGAACTAGGCCAGGAAGGGTGTGGGGAGGACAGGGAAGATCCTAGGTCCCCAGCCAGTGGGGGACCCTCAGGGACCTACTGGGAGGGAAAGGTGAGTTCTAGCTGTCTCAGGACACACCTCACACATGGTAGCCCAGAGCAGGCCCAGACACCAGCGGGGCCTTGATGCCTTCAGAGACTGGTACTGTGAGCGGACACCTGCCTTCCCCTCTGGGAGCTATGCTGTGGACCAGGAAATGGCAACACCCCAAACCATCCTGATTCAAGTCTGACACATGCCAGCCAGGGCCTCTGGTGAGACATCACAAGGAAGATGTGATTCAGACAGGTATGTCACAGGACGGACGTGTCCAGGGCAGATGTGTCCAGGCAGGTATGTTCCAGGACAGATATGTCACAGGACGGAAGTGTCCAGGGCAGATATGTCCAGGCAGGCGTGTTCGAGGACAGATGTGTCATAGGATAGACATGTCCAGGGTAGATGTGCCCAGGCAGGTGTGTTTAGGGCAGATGTGTCCCAGGGTAGATGTGTCTAGGACAGATATGTCAAGCAGACATGTCTCAGGACAGATGTGTTTCATGGTGAACAACTGAAGTAAGGGTTAACTTCTTCTTCCTAGGAGAGCTCCGGCATCCCCTCACCTCATTTACCTTCAGTCAGAATGACATGTGCTTGGTGTTTGTAGCCCTTGCTACTTGGGCTGTAAGAACTTCAGATCTGCAAACCCCGGATGCTTGGAAAACAGGTTTGGGGGCCATGGGGACTGAGATAACTGGTGCCTAAAAGCCAGACCAAGGAGCCACAGTGCCTAGCCTCACCTGCTGGGCCAGTAGGGATGGGGTGCATGGGGAAGCACAGGTTCCTCCCAAACTCTGCTCCTCCCATTGCTGGCCTACCTCCAGCCCACTGCCCTTGCCTGTTGTTTTGTTCTGCCCTTTGAGGACTAGGTCAGTTATGTGGGCCAGAGCTGGCGACTAGCTAGAGATGGTACCCAGGAGACCTTGTGCTTCCCTTGCAGTCTTGCTGGCCAACTTTGGCACCATCTCTGCCATCCGCTACTTCCGCCGGCAGGTGAGGCGAGGGTGCAGCCCCAGCTCCAGCCCCAGCCTCAGCCCTAGCCGTAGCCCCAGCTCCAGCTCCTAGGACCAGGCCTGGCCTAGGAAGACTCAAGACAAGGAGATGAACAGAGACATCCAGGATGAGCTGCTGCCCTCCTCGACCAAGGACCCCAGACTTTTGCAGCATGTAGGAGGGAGCCAGTATCCTTGGTGCTGTCTCCCTTGGACTCCATGGGAGGGTCCATCCAGGGGCCAAGGTCAAGGCCACTACCCACACCTGAGGGGAGAGGAGATTTGTAATTCTGGGTGGGTAGAGGATGAGCAGGGAGCTAGTTAATAGGGCACCAGATTAGCAAATATAATACAGGGTACCTAGTTAAATTTGGATTTCAGACACATACTATTTGAGACATTCTTGTACTAAGAAATTCCTTGTTTATCTGAAACCTAACTGGGTATCCTGTTTCATTTGGTCATGTAGGTAAGTTGGGTGTACTGCAGGAAAGGACCCTAGAATTAGGAGTGTCAGAGAGCAGCAAGGTCCCACTAGGTCTGGTGGGGCCAGGATGGGGACGCTAGGTGGCATCAAAGGTGGCCGGAGTGGTTTTCCAGGGATTATGCCTTGTGCACAACAGGCTAGGCTGGAAAGGCCCTTACAGACCCCTCTGAACTCCAAGCCCCAAGGTCTGGGGTCAAGGTGCCAGCTGCAGTCAATGAGCAGATGGCCTAGAGGATGCCTCTGAGGCAGCTCCTGCAGTCCCTACAGGGTGGGGCAGTGGACTGGGTCTGGCTCCTCTGGTGAGCCCTAGTTAAAGGTACACACAGAACTTAGTGGAAGGACTGAGCTCTTGGGATGGTCCCAGGAGTCAGAGATGGATGAGAGGTGGGTAAAGGAATCAAGATGAAAGAGCAGTGACTGGATGCAGGAGGCAGCACACAGGCTCCCCAAGATGGCAGGAACCTCCTGTTGCTCAGTGGAGAACACAGACACAGAACCAATAAAATCTCTCCTTTCTTGTTTATGGCATCAGTGTCTCTAACCAGCCCTTCCCCGCACATCCAGCAATGCAGGACTCTCCCACCATCCTTGCTACATACTCTCATACCTCTGCACATGACAGCTTACACCTTGCTGACTTCTGACCTTGTGCCCTCTGACCTCACAAACTCTGACCCTGACAAGCTTTCTTAGCCCTCTGCTCTTCACACCCACACTACCCCCACTCCAGGCATTGCTCTCATCAGGTTCTCTCCTCCATTTCTTCCTAGATTCAGAGCTGTAGGGAGGCTCCTGTGGCTCTCCAGGACCTCTCTGGTGTCCTTCCCTGGGCTGTGGTCAGTCACTGACCAGGGTGTCCCTAGGGATGAGGCACCTCCTCCTCGCTGATCCAGCCCAGGGTCAGGGGGCTCTCTGCCCTCAGGGTTCCGGAGGTGTGCTTGGCCTGCTGGGTTAGACTCTGACTGTAGAGCTGATATTGGGCAATGGGGTGCTGGGGCCACTGCAGATCCCCTGGCAGGGCTGGCACTGGCAGGCTATGGTTCTGAGAGGCAGCCCTGCCAGGGAGCCATCAGATCCACTGGATGAAACCCCGCTCTGCCTCAGGCTTCCTGAGCTGCGGCCACTTCTGGTTGGAGGAAGATGAAGTCTTGTTCCAGATGGGGGACTCGCCATCTGGTGGGAGGGGGGGGATGCAGAGAGGCATTGGCCCGCAGGAAGCAACTCCCTGTTGCTTATCCCAGAAGGAGACAGGACTCTCACTCACCTGGAGGAGATGGCAGGGGGCTGGACGAACCTTCCTTGGTGGGGGAGACCTGGGAAATCCAAACCATAAGTCTGATAACTGGGGTGATCAGCATGTCAAATCTGCTAGACCTTCCTGCCTTTGCCCTGGGTCTGCACTCTCTCTGCTTGCTGCCCAGGCCCTGTCCTGCGGGCCCTGTCCTTGGTCTCTGCCTGTCCTATACTCTCTTGCTTCTCTCTTGCTTCTTCAGACTCCTAGGAGCCCCACACCCACATTGCATCTCTTGATCCCAGGGGCTGGGGCCTCTTGATACCAGTTTGGGGGTTGAAACTCACAAGCTGAGGGGAGTCTGAGGGCCGTGGCCTCTGGTCCTTGATGGAGCCTTGGTGCCTCTGAGAGGATCGGGACTGCAAGGCTCCCTTCTTGGAAAGCAAATGGGGATCTGGAGGGCCAGGGGAGCTGGAGAGTCCGGAGCTGGGGTCAGACACAGGTACAGACACAGGGACCGAGGGGAATGGGCTTGAAGGCTCAGGTCCAGGTGAGATCTGCATTGCACTGAGGAACTGTGAGAATGGTATAGGTAATATGAGGCCCTGGGCTGCGCCCAGTGTAGGGCTCAGGGACCCCTGACCCAGAAAGCCCTTGGCCTCCAGGCAGTCTGAGTAGGCTTCAGGCCTTCAGTACATGCAGTCCTGTGGCCCAGCAGAGGACTGACCTCATCCAAGCCCCGGACATCTGTGATCTTGTGGTGGGAAGTGGCGGGTGGTGTGTAAGGGTCAGCATAGAGTGGGGAGTGGGGAGTCTCCAGAGAGTGTTCTGGGCCACCCTCTAGCCTCAGCCTGCCCACCTGCAGGGAAGAGAAGGAAGAGACAGGTTCTTCAAAGCAGAAGAAGCTGCAGCCTCCTGTTCCCTAAGCAGAGGCCTGTGGGGGCTCCAGGACCACCTAAACCAGTGATGGTGAACCTTTCAGAGCTTGCAATGATTCAAACAGTCCGCTATAGCACATATGCCGTAGGTTCACCACTACTGTCCTAGACTAGGAGACAGAGCCAAGGAGGTGGAGGCAGTGGGGAGGGCTGGCCTGGAACCTACCTGGGCCAGGTCCAGGTGCAGGGGTAGTGGTGCTGCTGGGCCAGGTGCTTCCCTTCGGGCCTTGCCCCTAGGTAACCGGCTGCTGCCACCACGTCTCAGCTCTGTCCTCCTTTGGCCAGCACTGGCACAGTCAGGGTTGGCCTGATCCTGCAGTGACCAAGAAACTTCCAGAGAATTCCCTGCCCTCCCCATTCTCTGAGGCTGCACAGAGTTCCCTCTAGGATGAGTACCCTCTTTGAGGAGCCAGGGTCCAGGCTCAGGATGGGGAGCAATGGGATGAAGGCTCCAGCATACAGGACCCTCCTCTGCCACTCCAAGTACTCACAGGTGTAGGCCAGGCAGGACAGCCCACAGTGGACCGCGTGGAAGACTCAGGGAAGAAGGGGCTGGTGCAGAAGGAGGATGGTGTTGGGCACCCCAAGTCCCAGCTGGTCCGTCCATCCGAGGAGACTGAACCTCGGCCTCCACCCACAACCTGGACAGCCAGAGATGAGTGGCAGATTGATCCCTCTCCCTGACCCAGTCTCTGTTCAAAGGACCTGAGTCATGGGGCCCTCAGACCCTCACCTGTGTGTGCTCCTGTGGCCCTGGGGGGCTCTTGAGGTTGGGCAGCAAGGGCGCCCCATCCTTGCGGGAGATAGTCTGAAGGCAGAGCAGCCAGTGGCTGTAGTCTTCGTAGCTGGCACATACCACGCGGATGGTGTTGATGAGGCGGCCTGGCACACAAAGATGTGAGGTGGGGGCCTGGCAGGATGGGATGCAACCCACAGTAACCCAGTGAAGTGTTGGGGTATCCACTAGGCTCATGCCCTCTTCCCACGGTCCAGCCAGGCAAGGGGTAGAGCCCAGGGCACCTTCGATTAAGAAGGAGCGAATCTGCTTCTCCTCCTCCTCCAAGTTGATGTGGATGGCACTGAGTGGCAGTTCCCCCTGTGTGCGCAACAAGTGAAGATAACCCCAGCACAGAAAACCCAGCTCCAGCCTGGCCCTGTCCCTCTGTCTTGCTCTCTGGACCTGGACTGGGCACTCCCATACCCTACAAGAGGCCAGGCAGTTACTTGTCTGTTCTGGTGGCAGCCTCACCTGGTCTCTGGGTGGCCTGCTCCAGACCATGCCAGATGCAGGCAGACACCTGCAGAGATTGGTCCCTGGCAGGGAAGCCTCTGTGTGTGCTTTTCAGTGACTGTGACTGCACACTAGGGACACACTTGGCTCAGAGACCACAGATATTTGCGCATGTGTATGCACATGCCCCTTAGGCACAGGAAGAGCCACTCACAGGCATACAGTGCAAGCACCCAGGAGAGACTCCCAGGGCAGCTGCACCATCACCCATCCAGGGTGATGATCTAGTTGGTGGCTGAGGACCCTCTAGGATGAGATGGTTGCTGGGGGCAGGGACTCCTCCTCCATGTCAGATCTGAGACCAGACTGACCAGAGCAGTGGGGATGGATGGGCGGGGCCATGTACTCTGTCTCAACAGGCCTCGAAATACAGGTTCCTCCTGAGCTGCTGCCCCACTTCCAACACAGACTGCTTCCCTGGGGCTGCCTGGGATGGGGGAGGGCCCACCTTAAAGCTGAGCCCATCTGGCTCCTCAGAGAAGATGGCCAGGGACGTCGGGTACAGGACCAGGAGCCGGTCCCACTGCTCCTGTGGGGGTCAGAGGACAGAGTGGGCTGGGGTACCCAGGTCTGGCCCCAACCCCCACTTCCTCACACCTACCTGGGAGGGCAGGTGCTGCAGCTTGACCCTTGAGGCACAGATGGCGCCACCCAGTGACTCTCGCCCTGATGCCCTCCGCAGCCGGCTCAGATGGTGCTGCAGAGTCCAGGAGAGCTCATTCCCATGGGAGCCCTGGGGAATAGGAGGTCAGGGCAGGCAGGGAAGGCCAGGATAGGGGAGGGGTCTGCAGGTTCCTGGCACTGACCTTTGGGAGTGCTGTGTGGCAGTGCTGCAGTCCCCTCACCAAGGCCATCTGCTTCTCCAGGTGGTAGAGCCAGCTGCTGAGCTCAGCCTCAGTAGGGCAGAGAACCAGGAGGGGGGCAGGCAGTGGGCCTGGGGTAGAGGAGAGAGCAGGTTGGGGTGAGTTCAAGAAATCCAACAGGGGAGGCCCCTCTCTGGGGACTGCATGTAGACCTGGGCCCCGGGTAGGGAAGTACCTGCCACACACCTGTGATCTGGAAAGCATGTTCTCTGTACCCTTCAAGTGGACAGATGCTCAGGTCCAACAGTGGTAACAGCCCCTGCCAAAGCACAGGATAGGAAGGGCTGTGGAGTCCCAGGGACACAGCCAGCGATCCCTTTGTTGATTAACCAAACACACAGACCCACACACACACCTGGAATGTGAGTCCTTCGGAGCCATGGGCCTGGAAGTACAGGTGGGAGGGAAACAGCTCCAGGAAACAGTCACTGACATCCTGTGGAGAGATGGGCTGCCAGTCTGGGGGTCTGGGGAGTAACCTGGGCTGGCAGGATGCTGATCCCCCAAGGCTTTCCCCACCTGGCCTGGCCCCCTGGCCCCCACCTGGCTGTGCTGGAACCGCAGCTGGACCTTGGCGTAGTGCACGACCTTGCCCAGGTTCCTTACAGGCACCCGCCGCCGCCCTTTCTTGAAGACACTCAGGAATGGCTGCTCTAGGCCTTCTGGCCGGCCTTCTAGGCCCAGGACATCCTGGGGAAGTAGGGCTCAGGGGAGGGACTGACAGGGCCAACAGCCTCAGCCAACAAACACACAGCCAGCACACACAGGCCTGGTCTCTCCAAGCAGGGCCACACAATACACACATCAAGAGCACATGTAGGCGCAGACCCTAGCACAGCCACAGCCTCTTTCCATGAAAACAGTGTAGACACACATGCAGCTTCCCCATGTCAGAGCTGCCTGGTCTAGTGGCAGACAGTGAGACTCAGTGGAGTCGACCCTTAGCTTTATCATTTCCTGTGCGGTGTGGCCTCTTTCTAGTTCCTAACCTTCTCAGATCTAGAGGAGCTTGGGGGGCCTGGGTGGGATAATGCTCAATACTAGGTTCTACAACAGACAAAATAGCACAAAAATCAGAAAAACAAAGGCCCTGATTTGTAACCTTTGCCAATTTCTTTGGTGTACATATTCCCATCACAGTGAGCTACCAACACGATGTCTGTGAACTCGGGGCTAGAAAAGCCAGGTCAGCCAGCTCTCCAGAACCTGCACCAGCCACCCTGCTCTAGCCCACCACTGCACGTGCCTTCATCCTACTCATAGCAAAAGCAAAGGTCCTGCCATGCTCCGGGGGTTCTCAAGGATGTCTTTCATCCACTTGTCTCCCCTTCTCTCACCTCTGGATCAGAGACACGCTTGTCTCAGGACCTTTGCTCTTGCTGCTCCTTCTGCTGGGACCCTGCGACCTTCACTCCATTCCACCTCTCAGGGCCTTGCCCAGATCTCTTTAGTAGTCTCCCTTGCTGTCTCTCTCACTTGTTTATCTTGTCTGTCTCTTTTTTGGGGATGGGAACAAGGTCTCTGTATTTTGTTTCTTGCTGTGTCCCCAGAGCCTAGGGTTAGGGTCTGGGATGTGTTGGAGATGGTGGGTAATGCATATCTGCTGATAAGAGGAAGAAAGGAAGGGTCACCATCCACACACCATTTAGCCAATGCTGGTGCACAGTCCTCTGTAAATGGGAGTTTGGGATTGGATTAGGAGTCAGACAACGGATGAATGCTAAGCGTAAGTTGGGTAGGGTCACACTGCCTTTGGTGGATGCCAAGGGCTTCTACACGGGCTGCTGTGTCCTGACCAAGTTGAGCTATTTCTTGGGCAAACCCAGGAATGTAAAGACACAGAGCTCCCTGGCCTCCCAGCCTCTGGGTGGGGCCTCTTGCACCCACACCCAGTGTGGGAACTGACTCTGGGATGGCAGCTGTGAAAAATAGGCCACAAATCAGGAAGGGCTATGCAGTTGGTCCTGCAAACAAGGTTCAGCCCTGGAGCCCTGGTGAGGACTCAGTTTGGAACTATGGCAAGGCTAGTCATTGTAGAGGTACACAATCCACTACAGAACTCAGGTGCAGGGCCCAGGAGAACAGCTCTATGTCTGGCCAGAGCTCCTTCCCTGACCCCCCACCTCAGGCTCACTGAGCCCTGCCCGCTCTCCAGCTACTGTGACGCCTGGGCAAAGGAGGACCACTAGGGCCACCATGCCTCCTGTGACTCCCTGAGGGTCCTATTGCATGAATTGGGCCCAAGCAGTAGGAGGCAGGATCTGAGATACGGCTATGTGGAGGAAGCCAACTGGGTCAGGCCAACCACCCTCTTCCGCCCACTTCTCTGAGGCAGCATAGTTTATAAGGCTGGCACTTGCCTGTAGGGAGTCCTGGGAACTCAGAGAATGAGGGCAGCGATAGTACAGGGGTCCCATCCTGGTGGGAGCAGGTGGGCTCTAGAAGTCCATGCCAGCTGGCCTTTGGAGTGCAGAGTGAAAACTCTGCCTGAGCCTTTGGCCCAGAGTCACCTATGCTCTCCCCTAAGACATTCCTGGTGCCTGGGGCATGGCAGAGCCCACTCACCTGGCAGGCACAGTTTCTCATGAGATGGCTGCTGTGGTCAGGGGGTTTCTGTCAGAACTTCTGGCCTAATATCAGCATGTTGAGAAAAGGGCTGGGTCTCTCCCCTATCTTGCCCTCAGTCCTGGGGCGGCTGGCGGTGGGCAGGGGTGCGGGGCTGCTCCCTTGTTGTGTGTGGGACACGGCAGCGGGCACTGTAGAAGACTGCTGTGGTCTGATGCCAACAGCAGCAACCTGCAGGGCACCCCAGGAGAAACTAAGGCCTAGAGTGGGTAACAGCCTAGCTTACTGCTCACAGAAGCCCCTCACTCTCTCATTTGACAGGACTATACCCGAGAGATACCTGTAGCTGGCCAGGGTCTGGCAGAGGCAGGTGGGTGGCCCCATGAGTGAGGCCGGGAGACTGGAAGGCCCCGCCCAGCCGCCTGTGGAGCTGCTCACGACTGACTCAGTGCCTCTCAGTTTCGCTCTCGCCCAGACTTTCGGCGGACGAGATCCTGAGGTGGGGCAGTGTCCACTTCCTCACTTTTGGGTCTGAGTCCCCCCAGCTGCCCAGGAGGGCAGGATGCACACGCTGCCACATACAGTCAACATGAGAGCCAGAGCCACTCAGACCCGAACACACTCAGACCATGTTCCAGCAGGGCACGCCCCTCCGCTCACCGTCCCGGGGATGTAGTAGAAGATCCTGTCAGCTGCCGAGTCTCCATCGGGGCCAGCCTCCACACCAAACAAGCCAGCTAGCTTCCTTGTGTTGTCTTCTCTGGGGACAAGGGAAAGGGGCTCATGGCATGGCCCTGGAAGCAGGTTAAGGAGACTGTGCTGACGGCTGAGGCCTCACCTCTCACCTGTTTGCCTTTAGCGAGGGCTTTCTGGAGAAGGAAGCCCGCAGCCTCCTGGGGGCCTGAGGGACACACTGGCTGTTCCCCATGGGTGGCTGTGGCTGGCCTGGGCTGAGCTGGTTGACTATTCTGGGTCCCACAGGAGGCTCTCATCAGCCTCCCCACAATAGGCGGGGCTGTGAATGTCCTGCCCTTAACTAGGGGGTGGGGAGGGACCTTTCTGAGGGATTGGCCCAACTGGAGCCCAGCCTTCTAGGGATGGCCCCTTTCCACACAGGTGCTGGCAAGCCTTGGGGCAGGAAGGAGAGAATATTTCCTTTAATGAGGAAAACAGCCCTCACCTCAGCCTCGGGTCTGGATAGGAAGGGCCACCTGGTCCTGGTCTATGAGCCTGTTGCCTACCTATGTTCAGGCCAGGGGTACTTGCTATTGGAGCTTGGTGAACCCAGGAACCCCTCCCCCTCACCTACTCCTCCCGAACCTGAGCACACATCCTGTTTCCATAACTCCAGTTGGTCTCTGAGTCACCAGTGCAGTAGGGGGTGTGTCCTCGACTCTCAGCTCCCACAGTATGGGGAAGAAACTAGGACCTTCTGCCAGTTTCTCTTGCCTGGGGTCAGTCTTTTTGATTTTTATTTTTTTTTTTGTCTTTTTGAGACGGGGTCTTGCTACGCAGTTCAGGCTGGCCTTGAGCTCACTACGTAGCCCAGGCTGGTCTCGAACTCGCAACGATCCTCCTGCCTCAGCCTCCCGAATGCTGGGATTACAGGAGTGTGCCACCATGCCGGCTGGGTCAGTCCTTACCCAAGGATAAAGTCAGGGCCCCCAAGGCTTCACCAAATACAGAAAGGGGGCCACAGGCCTCCTAGATACCTAAGAGTGCTGGTGTGGTGGGAAGCTTATCTCCCACTTGCACCCCTGCCTCCAGAGGCTGACAGGAGCCTCTGAGGACCAGGCTGGTAGCCAACCTTTGCTGGTCACAGGGACACCACAGCCCCTGCCCCACCTGGGAGCTAAGTGCACCCTTGTAGTTCTGACATTAATACAGCATCTTGGCCCACAGGCCCTCACCGTGGGCAGACAGGACACCAGGCTACGCTGCAGTCCCACAAGGCAGAGGGGACAAGAGGGGCCAGAGATGGACACTCAGCCTCCAACCCATGGAGCCCAAGAAACACGTTTATTGTTCAAGTTGGCTCATATTGCTGTATAGGGTCTGAGTGCATATGTGTGCCCAGCCCCAAACAAGACCCAGAAAAAGACATCAGCTACAGGTAGGACACAGAAGGAAGCCTGCTTTGTGCCCTTCCCAGGGACAGTGCTTGGCTAGGCCAGGTAAGGGTGCTGTGCAAAGCATGGGCTAGAGATCTGCACCTGTTTTTAGAAAGCCTCCAATCCTCTCCTGCTCCTAATACTGGCTGATGAACCCCCTGTAGGGAGTGTTCACCCTCATCACTTGTACTGTCCAGGCAGGAAGCTGGGAGAAAACTCTGGAGGGCTGCCTGGTCCCCACACACAGAAGAGCCACATTTGGAGAGTAAACATATAAACTGGTGGCTGCAGCACTGCTCATCCATCAATAAATAATCAATCAATCAATAAATAAATGGCACGCACATAAATGAACACCAAGGAATGAACGCAGACGTGGACAGACCGATTTCCCTGGTGGGAGCCGTGGATCCTGCCCCCGACATGCAGCCGGGAACAAGGAGGTGCAGGGGCCACCCCATGGGGCTTAAGGCATGTAGGGCCTCTGTGCGGTCCATACCGCAGGTCAGAGGCTGGTAGAGGACACGGACAGTGTAGGTGAGGATGGTGGCGGGAAGTTGAGCAGCTCTAGCACCGCCACACCCACGCTACTGCGCCGTGTGAACATGCAGGAGGCAGCCACCCATTTGTTGGTCCTTGGGTTGTATTTCTCAATGGAGTTGAGGCTGGAGCTGCCGTCGTTGCCCCCCACAGCGTAGAGCCATCCATCCATAGCCACCAAGTCATGTGTGCTCCTGGGGGTGGGAAGACCACAGTGAGGTTGGGGGCAGGACCAGCAGGGGAAGGGAGAACAGCTCCCCCAGCACACGCCCAGCACTGCCCTCTGTGGTGGCTGAAACTGTCCACCGGCCACCCCTGGCTGCAGACCTGCGGATGTTCATGGGTGCCACGCTCTCCCACGCACCAGCCTTGGGACTGTATCTCTCTACTGAGTTGAGACAGCTGGTGCCATCATTTCCCCCCGCCACATACAGGGCGCCTTCCAGCACTGCCACACCGGCAGAACTTCGCCTGCTCAGCATGGAGGCCACAGAAGTCCATGAGTTCACCTGCAGGGGTGAGAGTACAGGTTGGAGGCAGACCCAACAAGGACATCCCTCCCACTAAAAGGACCTACTTCAGGGTGGAACAACCCCAGGGAGCATTGGGGAAGGGTGGTGGTCATTGGGGTGCATTTGCACCTGGGGCTCATACTTCTCCACAGTGGCCAGGTGTGAGGAGCTGTCATAGCCACCCACGGCATACAGGTTCCCATCTGCAGGAAAACAACATACCCTGGTGCTCCTTGCTGAGTGTGGGGTGGGGGCAGGCAGGAGGGTAGGTACATGGAAAGTAGGCCCTGTTACCCACCGAGTGTGGCCACGCGCACGTATCGCCTCCTGGTGCTCATGGCAGCAATGGATGTCCATGTTCCCGTCAGGGGGTCATAGCGTTCAGCACTGTGGGCACCAGATGGCTGCTGACCATCAGCCAGGACAGAAAAGTCATCCTCCCCCAGGGCCTGTCCTCCCAGGGAGTGGCTGAAACCCCCTGCTGGGCACCATGAAACTCTGACACGAGTCCTACCACAGCAGACAGCAAGGTTTGCTGGGTTGCCACAGGCCACGGGGGTGCCTGCATGATCCTGGGCAAAGCAAGTGCCCTGCCCCGCCAGGCCAGCCCCTGGACTGGAAGAGTCTGTTGCAGAGAGGAAAATGGGCAGAAAAGAGCCTAGGCCCTGGTGCTGCTTTGATCTGAGGTGAAAAAGCCTTGGGGACCCCCACGGCCTGGGACAGGTAGGACTTGTTCTTCCAGGCAAACATCACAGCCTGACCTCCTGCTGCTGAGCCAACTCTGTGAGGCCACGGGGTCTCAACCCCTGCTATTACCTGTTGAGGCAGGAGGCCCCATCATAGCCGCCAGCTGAGTACAAAAGTCCATGCAGTGCAGCTACACCCAGGCAACTTCGCCTTGTGCCCATGGACACCTCAGGCTGCCACGTATTGGTCACGGGGTCATATGACTCCACAGTAGCCAGGTCTGAGGTCCCATCATAGCTAGAAAAGGGTTCCATTACTGATCACAGCTGGCCTAGCACACATGTGCAGAGCTCCCCACCCAAGTATAACCTCTATGCTTACCCGCCCACAGCGTACAGCTTGTTCCCAACAGCTGCCACTCCCACCCTGGCTCGACGTGTAGACATGGAAGCCACCACATGCCAGCGGTCAGTTCGGGTGTCATATGCTTCACAGTCCCCATGGATGGCAAATAGGCTCCCTCCGCCTGGTGAGGGGTGAAAGGGCAGGAGGGGGCCAGGTAGGCAACAAGTAGGAAGGAGCTCTAGAACAGCTGGAGGGCAAGGGCATGGGTTTCTATGACGAGAAGAGATGGGGACTAGGTCACACTGGTGGGACCTTGAGAGGCCCCTGAATAGAGCAGGAGGGAAAAGTAGGTCAGTACAAGCTAGGCTTGTGCTGGACATGGAGGTGGAAGGCCCAGTGCAGCAGCATGAGGAAGGAGGGGCCAGGTGGGCATACCCACGGCAAAGAGCACAGGGCCAGCACCCTCGCAGCGCCGGGGCCGAGTGCGGCTGGTGCCCAGGACGCCCCTCTGCTCAGGCAGCAGGTGGAACTTGAGGGCTTCGATAAGCAGGTCTTTGCAGTCGGGGTGATGTCGCACAAGGCTCTCAGCATCCACATGGCCCAGCAGAAAGTCACGGCTCAGAAGAGGCAGCCGCACACACTTCATTAGCTGGGGCGGGGCATGTCAAGGTCAGGGAGACCCCCAGGCACACTTGCCTCAGGGCTGAGAGCCCCAGCTCAGAAATCTGCACAGGTTCTCGAGATAAGTGCCTGCCCTTCCCCGTGGGGTCCTTGATGGGAGAGGCCAGGGACTCCATGAAGTATACCCAGGTCTCTATCACCTGTGTCCCTCCCAGACACCATGGGAGCCTCAGGGCCTGGCCTCACCCGGGGAACATGCTGCCTCCGAGTGTCCACATCGTGTTTGACCCAGCTCAGCACTGCACGGTAGACGTCTTCCTCTGAAGGCACATTCAGGCTGTCGCTAGAGACCAATTCCAGCACCTGGAGGTGGGGGCCCTCAGACCTGAGATCTGGGGAGGGTCCTGTGTGCCCAGGGAGCCCTGAAGGTGCCTGGGAAGGAGGTTCCAGCTGGGGGCTCAGTGTTCCTACAGGGAGGGTCTGAGCAGGGTCAGCAGCCACAGATTTGGTTTCCAGGGGAGCCTGAATTCAGTGGTCATGGTGATGTAGAACCAGGAAGTGGAAATTACGGGCCGAGATACAGGAACAGGATGGCGTAAGCAGTAGAAGATAAAGGTTTGGTGGAGTCAGAAAGTGAGGACAGGATCTGGGGGCCCCAGGATGGTCACAGTGTGGATGTGGGAAGTGGGAAGAAGGGTTGTGGGGCTGGTTGCTAAGTTCCTGTTGTCAGGGATGGGGCTGGGGCATGATTTGGGCTGCACCCCAGCTGGCACGTTACCTGCTTCAGCGGCAAGAGCATGAACTCCTCGGTCTTGGCCACGTCCACGAAGTGCTGCAGCACATACCTGTGTGCTGCCTTGAGCAGGTCACTGCATGAGTGTGTGTCAGCAAAGCCCCGGATTCCTAGGCAGTTGGAGGGGTCCAGCTGACTCAGCAGGAACTTGCAGCAGGCATCTCGGACGCCATTCAGCTGCAGGAGGCTGGCAGCAGGGAGCAGCGTCTGTAGGCATGGAGGTGAAAGTGAGGCAGGAGGGTGCCGGAGAAGCACAGAGTAATTGGGAGGGGTGGGGACTCGAGGACAGGAGCCTGGGGAGGCTAAGGAGACTACCTTAGGGGATGGCAGCAGCCTCACCTGCACATTGCCCTCTCCCACTATAATCTCAGCTGTGTATGCAAACTGCACCAGTTGGTCCAGCGCCTGAGGATCAATGTCATGCAGGGTCACGTGTGTCTGTCGGCTCTCGCTCATCTCATCTGTGGGGACAGGAGAACAGGGAGTCAGGCTGGTGTCCACCTGAAAGCCTGCAGAAATCCCTGTGTGCCACCCATACAAGTACTTGCTTGTGAACATGGCGTGAAAATAGGGGCTGCAAGAGGCCAGCACCACCTTGTGTGCGCGGATCTCCTTAGCGGCCACGTGCAGAACGATGTCACACAGGAGACCACGCTGCCTCATGCGGCTCATGGCTACGAAGGCGTCGTGGTAGTGCCGCTTGGAGTTGTGGGCCACACTGTGGCCCTCCCGGCTCAGCAGCTGCATAGCGCCCTCCATGGAGGCTGTGGGCCGGGCCTGCCTGGGCCGCGCACGTTCTGCCTCCGGGCTGCAGGCAGGCAGGGCCAGGTCAAGTGTGCCCTCCAGAACTGCTCATCCCACCCTTTG